TTTTTCACATCTTAATATGGAGGTAGTACGTTTCTCCGAAACGTCTCTTAATTTCTACCAAAAACATGGCGTCACATCCCCGAAGGCAGTAGTATTTAAGATATTTTGTTCACTGAACTCTCAAAAAGAATAAATCTACTTTCCTGTGAAGCACTGTCTGTGAGATGCATGGTACTTCCCTCCATGTATGGTGACATAACGGCCTGTCACAGTAGCCGCGCGGTGTAAGGCATGAACTCTCTTCGCTCGCTCGGACACTGGGATCGTGGGTTCGAATTCCACTCAGGGCGTGGATGTTTGGTGTATGTATGCGCCTATTCTGTGTGTGTGTTATCCTTTGTTGAGGTAACTGCCTTGCGACGGACTGATCACTCGTCCAAGGAGTCCTACCGTCTGCGAAAGAACGATTACAGAACTGAATAAGAGGCCTGGGCCCTGAATGGGCTGGAAGAACCATTGTAAAAAAAAATGTGACATAATGTAATAGCTTAATAAGAGACGTTGTCCGTTACTGAATAACGGCACAGTGAAATCGCTATTACATCATCAAACAAGTGGGCCATTTCTACGCAACGAATTAACATGTAACATTAGAACTGCTGGAGACTGTGTTTTCTGTGCAGTCCGACCCGAGGCTGTCGACAAGTTTCGCTTTCGGACATAACCACGAGATTCCTGAGTTAGATCGTTGGTTAAAACACAAGCAGAGATTATTAAAACTGTGGCAAGAAACCCCTGATCCAACATATAAAACGGAAGTCAACTGGATGAAGAAAACCACAAGAATAATGACCCGCAGAAAGGCACTTGAACAATGGGAAACAAAAATAGGGAATTGTGAGGTCACACCTTAGGCCGTGTGGCCTATTATGAAGTCCTTCACAAAGAAGAATAGAACAAAGGCACCAACAGCTGCTCATGTGTACCAAGTCTAGGCTGATAGAGGCCTTGTATATATTTACATATCGATGTAATAGAGTTACATGTAAAACTGTAAACAGTAGATATCCACAAGGAAACGGACTCTTGACAACTGACTTCACTATGTAGAACGCCGACATGTAAAATTGTAATGGTATGTACTACTGATTCTGACCGCTGTAAATGACAGCCCCGTCCTCTCCTCAGAGAGGGCGCCCCACTTCGACAAAATCGCAGCTGTCTGACAGTAACAAAACTCTGGTTTTGGACCCTAGATTGGGCTTGAGACTCCAAGACTGATTGACCCGCGGACCGTTAATCGTAACATAACTTTCACTTTGACGTCACTCGTAATCAGTTGAGAGTCGACAGTTGGGACAGTAGCCAGACGGGTAAGGGCATAAAGACGAAAGCTGAGGAATCTACATTTTTGTTAGCCATAACCTAGCACCGGCTAGTGAAGGCGAACTGAGAAGACTTAGTATGTGGTATAGTGAGAAGTAGATTGCGTCAATTAACGAGAGCGTTATAATTACTACTAGTTAAGGTTACATGTGTTCAATGAATCCAATTACTAAACCAAACCCCTTGTCTGGTCACTAACACGTAATAGTATTCTAGGGCCACACCCTCAACGACGTTTCAATTTCAGGTTATAACCTCACAGTTTGATATCGAGATTATATCCAAGTGTAGTTTTTCTTTTATTTGACACGGAAATTAATTTCTTTTTTCGCATGACTCTATTTGCATTCTCTTGTTCGAACAAATTTATAACCCGAAACACATTTGTTGCCCTTTAGTTTGGAGTATTAGCTGGTGGGAGCAGTACCAGATCAGCTGCAACTTCTGTGAACAGCTTACAACGGCGTCACTGCTACGTGCCTTCATTACGAAAACCTTTCACTTTTTTAAAGCGATCCACCGGGTGCTGAGGAATGAATGTGTTTTCGGTCGGCATTGTCAGTGGCGACGCTGCCCATGAATGATAATTCGTATGTTTTGTCGTGTCGTGTATGACATGGCGTGCAGTGACACTCACCTAGATAAGTGTGTCGCTTCAGCTGGTTCATAGAGATAATGGTATATGGGATATTTGTTTCATCGTTAGTACAGTGCACGACTCGAGAATTTGAGACCCATCACCCAGTCTCCTCTTCACAGACTTGCAATTATCTGGTTGCCCCACAACGTTCCGGTTATAGGATCTTGGCACGGACCGCACAGAAAACATTGTTTCCAACAGTTTCTCCAATGTTCGCGGACACAGTGGAACCTGCTTGTTTCGCTGTCGCTACCTAGTAATATGTCTACACGCTACGATATCATTATTTTGTGTAGAAAAATGTAAAATTTGCATTCTAAATATTCAGTCTTTGAAACCTGAAAGTTAATTTCTTATGTAGCCGATAAGAATGCGCCATACTTTTCGTTGTATTCGTTTCATTTTGCAACTCATAAATCGTGTTTCTGATTTTATTTCCGTGCCCTGTTCATATATTTCCTTGAAGATAGACCCAAATATTCTTCACATATTGGTTATAAGGTTCATAAATACGCGAGTGGCAAGGACATGTGCTTTGGTTAGGTGAAGGAAACCACAAAAGTCTGCATTTTTTCTTGAGAAGCAACAGATAGCCCCCCTGAATTCTTGTTATGCCACTTCTAGGACATGATTTTGGTTCCGTGGAGAATTATACTCCAAGTTGGGTTCGAAATTGAATATATTATCATTAGGAAAATGTGTCTAAAAAGTTAATACAAATGAAGATAAATGTAATGTGTGGACAAGTCACGAAACCACCATCTACTGCATTGTCATAACGTAACCAGCTATGAGCAACAAATCATGTGATAATATTTCGAAGTGTATGTACGTGAGATCAACGAGAAGATGAATAGAAATGAAATTGAAGCAGAAGTATAGTGAAATAACGGCAGTCACGATAGACGTGATTTAAATGAAGGATATAATAAATGCAAACCAATTTTTTTTTTGTAGGAAACTTTTGAAAACTGCTCTCTTGGAAGATTGAGAAGAGTATGGGAGGATTCAGTTGAGATGAACCTTAGGTTTTCAGTTGGTTAGTCTCTGTCTTCCCACCGCGGCGGCCCAGGTTCCAGCCCGGCTCTTCTCATGTGGGATTTGTGGTGGACAAAGTTAAAATTGGGCAGGTTTTCTCCGTGTTCTTCGGTTTCCCCAGACAATCTTCATTCCACCAACTGCTCCACGATCACAATCGTCTATCATCCGGGCCGGTACAGTAGGCCAGTAGTGGCCGCAGTACCAAGTGAACTCAGTCTCACCGCAATAATTCAATTCAGTTCAATTCAATTAATGTTTATTTTCGTGCAAACGTAATAACACATAGGCCAATTACAAAGTTAGCACGAGTACATAGAAATAAAATAATAATAATAATGATGATGATGATGAGGATGATAATGATAATTTAATTCAATTCGTGTTTATTTACGTGCAAACTTAACAACACAGAGGCCAANAATAATAATAATAATAATAATAAATTATAATAACAATAATAGGCTTTGCGTTTCGAAGATGGTTTGAAGTGGCTTATAATCGTGTCCAATAGCGAGGTCTGGGTTAGAGGCTCAAGTGGATACTTACACATATTGGTTTGGTTACTGAAATAGAGTTATATTCCTACGTGATTTTGCTGAATCCCGTGAAGCGTGACCGCGGTAGCGAAACTGCAAGTGGGAACTGTTCGTGACGCGGAAACCTAAACTTATTAGTAGGAACCTGAGACATCGACAGAAATTGCGTTGAGTCGTGATTGATAACTCGTCTTTATAAAGTCTACTTGCTTTTCCATCATAACTTGGAGTCACGACTAGACTGACACATCGTCATCATCATTACCGTCAAACCTGAATTTCCGGTACAAGAAACCACCCTCCTTTCCTCCATCGACTTCATTGTAGCTTACCTTTAGAGCTCAGAGCCATCAATCAAACGCAGGAAGACCCCGCCCTCTTCCATCTGCATTGAATAATGTATAATAGCTGACACAGCGAATTTAGTTTTATCGGATAAATAACATACAAACCAGAATCGTTAAACGTTCGTAGGAGAGACTGGAGAAGATTGCGTAACCAGTGTAATGACCGTTACAAATTTGACGGAAAATTACCTCATTGCCTACAGGAACTGTAGACTTGTTCCCACGGTGGAGACTGTGAAGGATTCTCTTCCATGCTGAATCAGTTTAATCCAGTTAATAGAGTCACTCCCTATTTCTCCATAGCCATTTTAGGCTACTTTCTTTATTTTGAAACCCATAAAGGGAGCCATATGAAATGACTTTTCTGTATGTCCGTCTCTCTGTGTATTGCCTCCTTTATTTTTGTTAGGGGCTCATGGTATCATATTTCTGTCTGTATGTCTGTGTGTGTCCCTCTCATTAATGTTTGTTAGGAGGCTTATGTGATCACCTAGCTGTCTCAGAATTACTGGGGTTTTGGACTTTGTCCATTGTCCGTATTCTGGAAACCAGAAAACGCAACGTTTTGGAGACTGGATCTGTTTCCGTTCTCAGGTGATGAGAGGGGAGATTGAGGTTAGTTCTTTCTATGGGACTCAGCAGAGTAGATGTCACTTCCCTCCTCACCTGAAGACGGAAACAGATCCAGTTGCCGAAACTTTATGTTTTCTGATTATACAGAATACCGGACGATGAACAAAGTCCCAAATCCCAATAATTCTGAGTGTTATGTACCATCGTCAGAACCCTTTACAATCTGTCTTGCTGTCTGTTTGCCTCCCCCCCCCTGTAGTTGCCACTCCCCTCAATTTTGTATTCCATGTTCTTTGTTGGCTGTGTCGTATCAAGGAAACTAGGCGATTAGTTCTTCGCAGGACTTATTGTAATATTATTCTGCAACCCAAGCATAAATGCAAAATGAATCGCTGCGTACCGAACAAATTCTGGCAGAATTAATGCAAGAAAGACAGAAGTTATGAGACAAAATGTACAAACTTGTATATTCTAATGTATCTGCAATAAATAAGAATTTCTAAATGATTGCTGCTGACAAAGTGCCTTTTGTTTCAGATTGGTCGTTAAGGAGAATCATCACTTGTGGAGGGAGAGCAAGGGTAAGTGAAGTCTTACATTATTTTTCTTACTGTGTATAATCAGTTTACCTTGATGTGTGAAACGATAGCACTAGGAGAATTCTCGTTCTATACAGAACCAATATTTTGACATAAGAAAATACATTATCAATTGTGAAAGAAACTGTGAGGATCACCGGTTTCGCGGCCGAGACTCGCACCGGACATATGAATACAAATCTAGAGCCTCTAGACCAGCCTGTTCGGCAGGAAACAGTGTTAGAACTGACCATGAAGCAGGGCTTGAGGGTCTTTTCTGGTTGGTTCGTGTGACTCAGGACAGGGACAAGCAACCGGTTCCTGTGAACACTGTGATGAACTTTCGGGTTCCGTAAAAGCCGGGGAATATTAGTTTCTTACGAAATAGATCCACTCTGCTCCAAGGAATTGGTTAGTTCTACAGGGTGAGTCTAAATTATTGTCGGGATTTCCGTGGCATATAATTTTTAAACCGGAAACACTATCATGAAACTGATTACGGAATATGAAAGTTTCATTATTTATAGAATTAATGCTGTAGAATGTTAAACAGCTACAACATGCGCACCTTCCGTGGAACGCAAGGTTTTAAAAATTGTGGACCACGGAAAACTGTGCTTGATGAATTAAGCAATATAATACGAATGAAGGTATAGCTCCATCATTCTTGAACACGGCGAGGGGTCAGCTTCACGCCACGGTCGCTTTCCCCCCTAGAAAATCGCCCTCGATACCCATGGATTACGAGGCTGGGTGGGCCCGCGAACCCATATGAACGCTATGAAGAGGACAGAAGTATTACTCATGCCAAGGTCGAACCCAGGCCGTCCAGCCTATAATGCGTCACTGTACCGACTATAGCTCCATATCCTGATGAAGTGACGCGTTACTATGAACTGCAAACTTGCGGTTATGTGGTGTCTGGGTTCTGGGTCACCGAAACAGAGAGCTGGTGTGAAAGGAAGATGTCGCTGGTTGAGAGGGAAAGCCACCGAGGTGGGAACGTGCCGGGGCGTGACGTGTCTCTTTCTCACAGCGCAGTGGCGTGTTTCAGTGGGCTTTCTTCGCTCTCTTGTGCGGAACCGGACGTATTTTGTGGCTTACTTTTCGGCCCTGTCCGTCGGGGCCCAGTCGAGGTGCCACCTAGGCATTCCCCACCCAAGATTTCGGATAAAGGCTAGAGTGTTGCCTCTGGACTACCCGGCTCTACAGGATCTTAATTAGAAACCTTGTTAATACAAAAGGCGTAGGGATACTTGCAAAGCCCAAGAATTCAGTGGGTTGCAGAAACCGCAATGGCATTGCCCAGGTAGGTGGACGCGAAAATGGTGTAGTAACTGCATGAATAAGCAAGTGACTGAGTAAGAGAATGAGTGAGCAAATGGACTCGTGAACTGACGAAAGGAAGGACGAATGATGAACAAAGAATGACAGAGATATTATTTGATTGAAGGAGTGAGTGAATAATTTAATGGGTAGAAGTGTCGGCCGCACTGTGTTCTGGGATGTGACGCCGTTAATATGGTAGAAGATGCCTACGCTTCGACCTTGAAGATGGAGGCAGTACATTCCTTCGATACGTCACTGAACTTCTACAGGGTCATCTGAGAAAACAGTAAACCTCTTAGTTGATCCTAGAAGAAAGCCGCGCCATAGCTCAAGCGGTTAGTCGCTGGCTTCCCACCGCAGCGGCCCGGGTTCGATTCCGGGTCTGGTCAAGTGGGATTTGTGGTAGACAAAGTGTCGCTGGGGCGGATTTTCTCCGAGTACTTCGATTTCCCCTGCCTATCTTCAGTCCACCAAATTCTCCGTCGTCATATTCACTCGGGGCAGGTAAAATAGGTCAGTCAGTGACCGACGTGCTGAGTGGACGTAGCTGGACTCCACCCCCCACTAAGCGAATTAAAAACAAAATAACGCCATGAATATGTAAGGTCTCTAAACATGTTGAGACGATTGTTTTTATTTAAGTAACCATGTTTTGTCAAATACGTTAACTGTATAAGTTCTAATATGAAGAGCGCTCGTGCATGATGAATCGTTTTAAGGTCTCTGTCTGGACTGAATGATTGAAAGAATGGCACGTGCGAGTCATGACAGCAGATCTCCGAGTCTAGACGGTGTGATGATTGACGATTCACGAATAGTCATGGAATGAATAGAGTTATTTTCGCCATACCGTGACTCGCCCATTACAGTCTGGTTCGTAAGAACACAAATATGATGTTAGCATTGATAGAAACCAAAGAGACATATTCTGAACTTCGAACCTCATTATCAGGTGCGTTATACTTGGCAGAAATTCAAGTGAACTAGGCTAATGTCCATTTAGAACGGCAAGAAATCTATTGACATGACGTGACTTCAAAACCAGATATATTACTCGTGTTCTACAGTAATTTCTATTTGCTTAACGTAAACAGTAAATATCTAGAAAGCAGTCTTCTGGGATATGGCGTCTTGTAAATATTGCGTTAACCGACGTTTCGGAGGAATGTATTGCCTCCTGAAGATGGAGGCTATACGTTCCTCCGAAACGTCGGTTAACGCAATATTTACACGGCAAGATATCCCAGAAGACTGCTTACTTCATAGTCACCTCCGTGAAAACCTCAAATCTTGCATAATAAACATCTAACTCCAAGTAGCAGGGTCTTTGAGAAGCTAATAGCCTCTTAGCAGGTCAACCAATTGTATCGTCTTTTATGGAATACTGAAAGCTCATTGCAGTGTTCACAAGATCCAACAAACAAGACTGAGTTTCTGTATGGTATTTTTTAGCATGCTGGATTTTTTGCTGTGATGTCGTGAGCCCCTCGCTCAACCCTCACGATGGAGGACCACTTCATGTAGATCGTCTGCAGCTGCTTACATTCGTAGCTGCCGTCTATATGTGGAGGTTCTGTCCTTCATCCGCAACTTGAGGAGCAAAATGCCGTTGTAACAAGAGACACTTAACATGCCATACAGCGTCTTTAGATTGGTTGTTTGTTTTGTGATTTATTTAACGTAATTTTATTAACTCCTATGCTATAGTTGGAGAGTCATGAGTGATGAATTGGGAAGAATTCCTGGGTAATCTCTAAATTTGAGTCTCTGTACTGAGTCTGATATTTATTCAACATACTGACGGTTCGAGTCTCAACCGGACATCGGATACCTGAAATGTTTTACATTAATCGCTACTATATGGAATAATGTCTCGAAATAAGTTACTACCTTTTCTTCTCCTTTTCATTTTGCCTTTATGACCATTCGAATTTTAATAATCGTAGTCTGAAACTAAATTTCGATAGCTTTGCTCCTATAGATACCTATCTGCACGCCACTGATCAAGTTTTCTATGCCGTTACTTTAATTCTATCACGATCCACCTTGAGGTTGGAAATGTCTGCAGTCATTCACAGGATGAGAACTTTGAATAAGTTAATATCATTTGATCTAAGGAGGCGAAATTAATAAGTTATGTTGTAGTAGTATCAGTGGCGTAAGAAGTGATGCAACGTCTTCAGTATCCTTGCTCTTCCATCAGTTTTCTCATGCATCTTAATGAATAAATTACGTTTCGTGAATGAAATATCTTGTGTTCCCTTGTGTTGTAGCAGTTGCGTGCTGGCTCGTACCTGTATGGAACGCTCTGCGTTGAGCGTATTTAAAATATCCCTGTCTAAAACAAAACAAACTCCGTGGCCTGTAGTCCGCAAGCGAACTATACCGACCGAGCGACCGTCCCTTGTCGGCGAAGTTAGTGCCAACTTTAGGGGATAGAAGGTGTCGTGTGTTCAGCGCAACGAATTCCCATGGCCGTTAATTTCGGTTTTCTAGACCGGAGCCGCTGTTTCTTTGAAATAGCTCCTCAGTTATCTTCACGAGGCTGAGAGGACCCCGTTCCAGACCCATTACTTCTCAGAAAATCTGTAGCGTTGGGAATCGAGCCTAGGACCTCTGGATCTGTAGCCAGAAACTCTGACCACTAGACCACAGAAGCGGTCCTGTCCCTCTTTAACCATTCTGTAATTAGTTATTTGGTTAGCGTATATTAAATAATAACTATGTTACTGGGTAATTAACAAAATGCCAGGGCACGTATGAATCAGTAAGTTTAAAACCCGAGGATGTGACAATAGCCAGGACTGTGGCATGTCTCACGTATTGGTGATAGGAGCGAAACATTGGCAGGATGATTATTTGCAGCTGAAATTGGTAGAAACTTGGGGAAACCCCTGCTACAGTGCCAGTTCGTCCGACATAGAATCTCACAAGAAGTCGTCTGAGGTTGAAAGCGAGGTTTTACCCTGATGATCCGGCTTCATACTGCCTGAGATATGACACCACCCCTCAGCTTAAACTGTACATGAAAGTAACCTGTGTTCGCAGTTAAGATATTGCTATTCATGTCTCCTACTCGTGTTACAACGTGTGCAAGAAATCAGCAAGTTTTTGTTGACTTACACTCTGACAAGTTTATGGATAGTAATTTCCAAGCCTTGCGAAGGTTAAGTTCATGTAAACATACTTTTCATTTTCTGTCAAGTTCCCTTTTTGACATAAGATACGCGGACAAAGTGATCCAAACAAGAAGAAATTGTCTCGTCGTAATATAACAAGAACTTCTTGAAGAAATATTCGCCTACGTTCTTCATAGGACACGGACCGTATAGAAAACATCGTGTCCGACAAGTCTTCTATTTTTGCGAGTGTATTCGTTGCAGCGGTAACTCTTTTTTTACCTAGCCGTTGTCTGAACACGACAGGGGAATACAGTTACAGACACACAGATTGATGGGAGCGATTTATGAAGTACGCCTTTGAGATGGACTCAGGTGCCATGTTATACATACCAAGTTTCATGAAGATTGGTTCGGCAATTCAAAACTTGATGGGTGGGAGATACACAGACACATAGGGAGAATGGTGATCTCATCAGCCAACTTTTATTGTTTCAAAATAAGGAAAGTAGGTTAAAAATGGAAAAGTTTTATATCGGTTTTCTAGTAAGGTGT